TTTAACATGTTGGATATATTACAATAAAATACTTGATAGCAGAGCAAACCATTACACCCAAGAACACCTCTTCTTTCACTAAATGATCTTTTCCATAGAACAAAGATTCACTTGCCTGGTGGGAAGATTATGGGAAATGATGTTCCAGCACAAATAACAAACCTTATAAAGGTCCCCCACCATAAGGCCTTCCACAGTGCCCAGCATACAGTCAAGGTTGTGAATGTATGAATTATCCTCTGCATAAAGCCTTCTAGGAAATAACTGCATCCTCCTTCCAATTCCTGAACACTTTACGACACATACGGGATTAGTCACAGTCTACCTTGTAATATGGTTGTGCATTTGTCTCGTTGCTTCTAATTTATAAATTAGGAAAACAGCATTATAGGAGGAAGCTAAGACACTGGTGTCCATTTTGTGTGAATGAGGTCTAAAGTCTTTTTCTTCTTTAGAATTATTTCATGTCACACAATTCTTCATACGTAAAATATCTCAATTCAAAAACAGCCTCACATAGGTTAACGGTCAATGCTTGGTTTAAAAATCATTCAGAATACTCTCCCTCTTTTCTCCATCTAAAATGTACCTATCACAGACATAAAACCTTTCACTAATTTTTCTTATAAGACACAATTTGATTAATTGTTATAAACTGTAAAATTCCTTAAAGAATAGAATCCCAGCATGGTAAGGGAAAACAGAAAGAAAGCAAGCCATGTTAAAGACGATGATACTAAATGCAATATAGTATCCTAGGCTGGATCCTGAAACAGAAAAGGGACATTAATGGAAAAACTGGTGAAATCCAAATAATGTCTACAATTCATTACTAGTACTGTACTGATGTTAATTTCTTCATTTTGACAAATGCACCATGGTTATGTAAGATTTTAATATTAGAGGAAGCTGGGCAAAGGGTATATAAGAATCTCTATACTATTTTTGTAACTTTTTTGTAAACCTAAAATTATTTCAAAATACAAAGTTTTCAAGATGACAACTGTGGTGCTTGGATCTGTTTAGTTTATGTCTAGACAACTTTCAGGGAGTGAGGAGGATCAGGAAAACAGCCATACATGATTCAAGTTTCTCAAATTTGTGACTAATATTCCTGCCTATTCTCAGGGCAGTTGGCACTCAGGTTTCTATTTGGTTTGTACAAAGCTCTACAAATAGGACTTTTTTTTTTTTCCCCTTAAAATCTCAAAAGGAAATGGCTTGCTTTCCCCTAGGTTTTCTTTTCTTTCTTATTATAACACAAAGCAACAGAGACTAGCACCAACGGTACAAGTTATAAAACATGCAACCCTTCAGGTTCTCATGATAAAGGAAGGAAAGGAAGTGTGAACTATTTTACAATTCCAGCAAAGAAAGCATTTAATCAACTTTTAAGGGGACACGGAGAGGAACCAGAGGAATCAGAATCAGTAACTATTCCACTGTGGTTTGGTAAAATTCATCTGAAATGCTAAAGAAGTCAACAGTATAGTAGAATCTACAGAATACTTGTTGTAATCTGTGCTTTTCCATACCATTACTCTGTGCTATCCTAGTGTTACTACCCCGGCGTCCCAGATGTCCTAGCCCACCTACAAAATAATTCTCTGTCCTCCCCAGCTATGCACAGAGACACAGGAAAACCGTTTGATTTAACTCAGATAAAATAACAGAAAGACGCAATCAATCTTCTCTCAAAGAAACATTTCTGCTTGTTTACCAATTACCTAACTGTGAAAATTATCTGAGTGCAGAGAATAGGAAAAATCAAATAAAAGTTGTTTTGTGATATATGTTAGTGCAGTAAACATCCTTAGCTTGGACTAAGAAAAGTTTGGATTAAAAAGTACTTTAAGACAAATTCTGCCTATTATCAAAAACAGAATATTACTGAAATCATTTATTCAACATTCCGTTGAAAAAGAAATTTACAACCATTGACACTCTTTTTTGCAAAGTGTTGAGAAGAGGTGGGAAGACAAGTACTCTCAATCCTGTTGATGAAAATTTAAATTAGTACTGCCTTTCAGGAGGGCAATTTGGCATTTTTTACCATTTTCTCCTTTTCAAAAACTTTTTCCTTGGCTTCTGTTATGGGTTCCTCTCTTCATTTTCCTTTTACCTTTCTTGTCTCCTTTGCTGATTTTTAACTGCTGTTAGGCTTTGGAGTTCTGGCCAAGCCATTTTCTTTTTAATGAATTATACTTTCTCCCCAGATATTCTAGTCTGTGGCTTGGACTGTCCTCTATAATGCTGATAACTTCCAAGTAAACATTTACCAATCTTCTTTGCTAACTGCCCCCAGACTAGGATCAATCCCCTGACTAAAAGCTCAGGGTCATTCTGTACTTACCTTTTCACAACAATTCTAATGCTTGTAATTGTTCATTATCCCCAAGCTAGACTTGAACTTCCTTGAAGGCAAAAGCTGTGTTTTGTTCATTTCTAATCATTCATTTCATATTTGAGTTCTCACTATGTGCTTGGCACTGAACTAGGTCTTGACAACACAGCAGTAAACAAAAAGTCTCTGCCCTCTTAGAGTTTATATTCTAATGGGATAAGAGAGACATTAAGTAATAAATATATACCAATTTGGAACAAGTGCTATTAAATAAAGGAGGGTAGGAGGGCTAGGAAGTATTGTAGGAGCTGGGAAGTTGCTATTTTACAGTGGTTATCAAGGAAAGCCTCACATATAACTGAAACCTGAAATAAGTGCAGCATGTTAAGTCACACATATATTTGGAGGGGAGGAGTCATCCAGAGGGAGAATAGCAAGTGCAAAGGCCCTGAGGCAGGAACACAGTTATTGTATGGGGAAAATTGTAAGAAGGCAAGTGGAGTGGGGGGGAGGGTAAACACATGGGAAGGGAGGCTCCGAGCTGAGTGCCATGATCTGACTTACGTTTTAAGGAATCACTCAGACATCTTTATGAATAGAGAATAAAGAATGGAAGCACTGACCCTCATTAGAACACTGCAACAACCCAAGAGAAACATAATGATGGCTTGAACCAAGGGAGTGGTGATGATGATTAGCTGGATTCTAGTGAGGTTTCGGAGATAGAACCCACAAGATTTGTTGATGAACGGGATGTGAAGAGAGAGGAGGAGAAGAATCAACGAGAGCTTTTTAAAGGTTTAGGAAGAACAGAATTGCCATTAACGTAAACAAGGAAGTCAGAGAAGCAATTTTATTTTCCCAGAACCCAGCAAATTGCCCAGCACACAGTAGACATTCAAATATTTATTTGTGAATTAAATTTAACTGAATAAACTCCCAAAAAGAAGCAGTGAACTCAGTGCTTTACATTTGCTCTAATAACGCCTTAATAACACCAAGAGTCTTAGCCGAGAACCAGCTTCAGTTTTAAATGCACAATTCTCCTGGATATAAAAGAAAACTGCTATAAAGAGCTCTGTGACAGCCTGAGGATTCTTACACCCAAAGTAATTAACCTGTTCATTAATTATGTCATATTCCTGGAAGATAGAGAAGTGCAAATAGAACTAACTCCCTGGGCCAGAATTAATGGAAAATTATAACACTTTGTGATCAATTTTCAGAAAGTGACAAGACTGAACAAGTTCCCTAAAGAAATAAGCCATCAGTTACTCAGTATTTTTTTTAAAACGGCTTTTTTACCTCTAGCAGCAGGTCCCTCCCAAACGATTTCAATGAAAAATTAAAAGTTGTTGAGAATGTGAAATTTAGTACATCTTCCTCCACTTTTTCTGCCAAGTAGTGTAAACGAGCTTCACTTAGGAAAGAAATGGGTATCCTCACCAGATTTTCTAATCCAGCACCCTTACTACAGCTCCACGAAGAACCACAACATTAGCAGAAATATATTCAAAGGCATTCTCCTAAAATAAATAGTTACCAATCTTTCCTCCCTTCTGGTTACTTTAAAATTTTAACTGAAGCGTTAAGTATCACCTCTCTTCCACATTAGTCTCCCTAATGCCCCACCCTAACCCAATGTGTTTTGAAAAAGAAAATGCGCTCACAACTTTCGGTGAAAATATACCTTAAAAACCTAGATCGTTCGGAGAAACTGATCGTACTGAATTCACAAACAGGCAGTACTTTCCTTTTTTCCTATCAGTACAAGGCCTTGAACCAACCCAAACAAATCTGCTGAAATGCCAGCCAGATTCCCCGTATCTCCCCCGCTCCCTACCCCCAAAGCTGGCCTGGAAATAAAAGCCACTGACCACGGAGCCGAACAGAAAAGAACCACTGGTAAGCAAAAACAGGATTTTGAGAGGCAGGAAGGGCGAGAGTCAGATTTTCAACCACTACGTCTAAGCGAGTAAGAGCCCGGACTCCCCACAAAATATATTCCGCACCGAGCGGCACACATTCTTCCCTGCGGCTCCAAAGGCTCCGCACCCGGATTAGAGGCGAGGTGGAGGGAGGGTACTCCCCGGAGAGGAGGAGCAAGAACTGCCTCAGGGGCAGGGAGTGCCCCAGGGGTGTCCGGCGCCCGAGGAACGGAGCGCAGATAAGCACGCGCGCCAGGGACGGATGCGGCGGCCCTTGGGAGCAGAACGCTCGGCGCCCACCACCAGACGCGGAGGCAGGGAGCCCCACTCGGGCTTCACCCACCCGGCTAGAAAGGCTGGAGAGGGCAGGATCAGGAACCCCGAAGAAGGGGCCTAGGAAGCTACTACTTCCCAGAAAACGGGCTGGGCGCCCGGGGGCGGGAGGCGGAGGCTGCTGCTGATTCGCTTCTCCTGTCATCACTGAAATAGGGGAAGCCCTCCAGGGAGAGGACAGTGGGGAGTACGGGTGGGGGAGGGGAGCACCAGAGCGAGGGGGGCGGCGGGCCCCTAGGGGACCGGGGCGCGGGATGGTGGGGGGCGCGCACCGGGAAGGGGAAGAGGGCGCACCCCCAGCCCGGAGCCAGGGAGGTGCGACCGCCCGCCGGACTCGGGAAACCCGGCCCGCCAGAAGGGTACGGAGCCGCCCTCCTCCCCGCCCCCACACTCACCATGTAGAGGGTGAAGGGCAGGCCGAGCAGAAAGAGCCACAGGTAGAGGTGCAGCGCGTTCACGAAGGTGGCCTGGTGCGGGTCGTAGTACCAGCCCCCGCTGAGCGCGGCCCACACCCCCTGCCGGAGGATCTGCAGCGTCTGCGACCCCATCCCCACCCGGCGCCGCCGCCGCCGCCGCCGCCGTCGCCGTCCCCGCCCCGGCCCCAGCTCTGCCTTGGTCGCCGGAGCCCGCAGCTGCCCAATCTATCCCCCTCCGGAGCTCCGGGAGAGCCGGCCGGCGCTTCTGCGGTCGCTGGGGTTGCTGCAGAAGGAGGAGATCGAGGAGGAGGAGGAGGCGAGCGGCGGGGCGGAGGAGAGCGGAGAAGAGGTGGGGACCGGCCTTCGGAGCGCCGCCGCCATCTTGTTTCCTAACACCCGGAGCTGGAGCCAGGCCCCCGCCGCCCGCGGCCCGCCAGCGCCGCTGCCACCGTCGCGACCCCCGCCGGCCGCCAGCCCAGAGCCTGGCGGAGAAGGAGGCCCGGCGCCCGGGAGGCACCGGGAGCAAGCCGCGCCCCCTCCAGCTCCTCCTCTCCTCTCCTCTCCCTCCGCCCCTTGATCCGGCTCCCCGCGGGTGCGCGCAGCGCCTCCGCAGCCGCGGGCGCCTCCTGGTGGCGCCCGGGGGAAGCGCGAGCGGACGCGGACGCCCGGGGGCGGGGCTGCTGAGGTTCTGGGGATAGCGAGTCGAGGCTGTGGTAGACCCCACTGCGCTCCCGGTACCCGAAGCTGGCAAGTTCCTTCACCAGTCCAGAAACCGGATCTTCCACCCCCCGAAACCTTGTCAGCATCCTGGCTGACGAATTACGATATTTATTAAAGGCCTAGGAACAATGAGGCTCATATCTGAGATACTCCTTGAAGGCCGGAAAGAATTAGGTACAGCTGATGACGGCTGAAAACTCACTAACGCACCCACTTTGAGCAAGAACTGTGTTGGTCCATAAAGTGAGCTGGAGGCCCTTGACTGAGGAAAATAACCACGGCCAGGATTGGACAGATTTACTACTTCCAAAGACAGATAAATTAACAGAAGTTGCAAGAGGTGTAAAGGTATGGGGTGGACAGGTTGATCATTGTACACGGTGATTTTATTTTTTAACGTGCTGTAACTTGTAGCCATTTTTATTAATGGGCCAATTTAAACAGGGTTGAAAGATTAACGGCGTCTCCACCCCAAGTCACATCAGGGTCTCGTACTTTTCTTTTTATAGCTGTAAAGTCTGGGAATCATTCTTGGCTCTGTGTAATGTTTATATGGCATGTCTGATCTCATTGAATAAAATTTTTTTAAAAAAAGAGTTTGAAGTTTGAGTTTATGATAGCAATAAATGTACTCTCTATTCCTGGATTAAAGTTGCTATAATTAATGAGAAAAGCAAGAGAGCCAAAAGAAATCCGTGGTGACGTTTTAAGAAGAATATTGAAAAACAATTGCAATACCTCCCAGAGTCACACCACTTTACAGTTCAAACATTTCCACACCCATTTCATTTGACCTTCACAATACTCCTGTAAGGGCAGCATACAGGCTAGCCTTACTTTATGAATTAGGAAACCCAAGCACAAAGAAACTAAGTGATTGCCCAAGTAGTTCTCAGAAGTGGTTGAAAGACCTCTGGAACCAGCATTCATCCTAACTGCATGGACTGAACTTTGGAAGTTTATTTCTCAGCACTCTCCACCTTATCCATTCAGATAAGAGTTTGAAGTGGTCAATAACTGCTCAGTTTCTGGTCACCTGTGACCAGTTTAAACGTATGGCCAGTTGTTCTCAAAGTGTCATCCCAGGACCAGCTGTGTCAACATTGCCTGAGAACTTGTTAGAAACACAAATTTTTAGGATTTCCCTGGTGGTCCAGTGGTTAAGACTCTGTGCTCCCAATACAAGCAGCCAGGTGTTCGAATCCCTAGTCAGGGAATTAGATCCTGCATACTGCAAGTAAGAGTCCCAGTGCAGCCAAATAAATAAATATTTTTTTAAAAGAATAGTTTATTTTAAAAAAAGAAATGCACATTCTCAGGCATCCAGAGAAACTCTGGGTGTGAAACCTAGCTATTTTAACGAACCCTCTGGAAGATTTTAATATACCTTAAAATTTGAAACTACCAATGTAGAATACCATCCCCAGCCTTGATTTGTTCGTTTCCTTATAAGCACAAAGCCATGAAGTTCCAATAACATGAAATTGAGAGACGTGAATGAACACTGGCTAAAATATACTTTAAAATATATTAGTATGTCTAAAAGCAAAATTAAGGTTAAATATGCAATTTTACATTTAAGAGAGTGGCCTTGAGCCTTTGTCACAGACACAAGGTATTGTCAAGTGTTCATTCGTTTCTCCTGAAGAAGACAGGAAAGCTCTCTAAGCAGCTTTTGGAAGTGATCCCAAGCTTTTCCAACACAAAGGAAGATGTAAACAAGGATAAAATTCCAATACCACATCAGTTTCCACTCCAGCAAGTATCTGCTCTAGTTTAATGTAAAAGGATTAACTGTAATTGGGGTGAGGTAGACTGGAAGAAGTGGAGACCAGAACTAGATCGTGACGAGTGTGCAGCCAGAAGACAGTATTTGGAGGGTATGTAACCGGCAGCAACCAGGAAGGCAGCCAGGATAGGCTTGTTCAACACAGAGGATGCGAGTGTGGTAAGCCAATGGGCAGCGGCTACGCAGCCTTGGGAAACCCAGGAGCAGAGAGAAATTGGGAAATCACGGCAAGCTTTAAGGAAATGTGTTGCTTATAGCAAGGCCCCAGCCTCAGTACTGTCTTCCAGGTCTGGATTTCTCTCCCTTTGGGGAACTGATGAAAACAAGTAGAATTTGGGTCCTTGAGGGGAGGTACTGGGCAAGTTTGGAGGACAAGGACTTGGGCTCAAGGCAACAAGACAAGTATCCAAAGCCCAGATCTGGCAGACAGAGGGAGACTTAGAAACAAAGGAGGCACTTAATACCTAGAACTGAGACTGCATTTCACACTGACCATGGTTACTTCATGCTGAGGTCCCAGAGTATTAATATGGAACTCTAATTCCCCTCCAGTATGGCTGGGTTTGATCCAAGAGCCTAGAAGTGGGAGTCACATGGCACCAGCCACTGAGTAAAAAGGGGTCAGCAGGATGAGCAAATCCAAGAGATAGAAAAGACAGTTATAGACTTCATCTTTGAGCTCTGGACTGGAAAAGCATTTTAGAAAAATGCTAATTAACTGACTTAGGGAGTTAGCCATTGAAAGAATTCAGTGAAATGGATGACCTTTCCCAGAGACGGACTCCGTCTTTGGGGTGAGGGTGGGAGGCGAGAGAATCCTGCAGTGCTTTTTATCTGTAGCTTTCAAAATATTTATGAATGTTGCCACAACAAGCTTCCTATTTTAAAAACAGGAAGCCGAGGCGCAGAAAGGTAACATACCCTATCATACCCATAAAGTACAAGAGCAGGACAAAAACTGAGGAATCTAATTTGCTAAATGTTAACCCTCTTAGCCATGCATAAAAGCCATTAATAATGTGACACTTAGCCTGTCAAAGTTAGCAGCAATGACTTACTGCCAAACCACCACCTGACATGTGTTCATCTTTCAGCTAATTCTATTAAAATTGTACTTCTTGACCAGGCCCCTTGAGGACTCGGAAGGCTCTGACAGTGGATGCTCTCTCCTGCCTGAAAGGGACAAAGCTGAGTGTGCAAAACCTTCTAATAACCCCCACCCAAGCCCACCTCAAAGCAGAGGCATACAGACTGCAGCTCTGGTCAGTTTATGCGGTAGCAATGATCCACTTAGACATCATAGCCTCATGTCCTGCCTGCAACCTAAATGTGGCAGGTATCCATGTCTTTCTCTACACACATGCCCCCCAGACCAGCCCTTATTTATTTCTCTTGGTGAAACCAACATTTTCCCACTCTCTCAGGCTTAGAACCTCATACGCCCTCCTCCATGTCTAGCTTCCTAGGCTTTCTCTGGCTCAATCCTTCCTTTACACTGCCAGATCAATCAATCTGGTGAAAACTCTCATAAACTCAGACCACATAGCCTCCTGTTGCCTCCAATCTCTCTTCAAAACCATTTTGCATTCCACCAACAAATTAATCTCCCCAATCCACTTTGCCCATGCCCCTCCTTTTCTCAGAAGCTTTCAATTCCCTTCTGGTGCCTAGAGTACTAAAGACACACTCCTTAGCCAAGCATTCGAGGTCCCCTACAACCTGAATCACTGTTTTCTCTAACTTAGCTCCCGTTATTTCCTAACATAAAACCTTTTAACATGAATATCAGCATACACATTTATTTATTTTTATTTATCAGCCCATTGATTTACCAGTTTCTGCCTCTATACTGTTACTGATGCCATGTGCCTTACCTAGAAAACCTTACTCCTCCATCTGTCTACTAAGATTCATTATGACTATTTCAAACCCATTCATCTATTTTTTGAATAGCCTAGAGAACTCATATGTTCCATTCTTTTGGCACCTAAATGTGTACTTCTTTATATCCCTCCAACTAAACTGTACATTCCTTGAGGGCAGGGCTCTTCTCAGCCTGTCACACAATGCCTAGTAGCAAGCTGTTAAGATCAATTGACAGTCAATGTAAGTTGAATAAATAAAGCAACACAGAAAGCAATGACTTTTCAATTAAAGATTTTAATCTGTTTTAGCTTTTAGTTGGTAACTCTTCAACAGTCAAAAGCATTTCACCAGCATAGAAGAAATAGGGAATAAAGGTGAAGAAATTTGGAAGAGACGGGAGGTGCCCTAGAATTCTTCCCTGATTCTCTTTTTAGTCGTTAGCTATATACCACTTTATAACACATCAGGAAAATGAAAGTCAAAGGGTGGCTGGGGCGGGGGTTGGAGGAGTGTGGAACTTCCCAAGTCTTACATAATACAATTGTAAAATACCACTATCTGGATATGGAGCTAAATATCAATAAGTAAAATAAGAGCAGCTGGGCTTCCCTGGTGGCACAGTGGTTAAGAATCCGCCTGCCAATGCAGGGGACACGGGTTCGAGCCCTGGTCCAGGAAGATCCCACATGCCACGGAGCAACTAAGCCCGTGAGCCACAACTACTGAGTCTGCGTGCTACAACTACTGAAGCCCACGCCTAGAGCCCATGCTCCACAACAAGAGAAGCCACCGCAATGAGAAGCCTGCGCACCGCAACGAAGAGTAGTCTCTGCTCGCCGCAACTGGAGAAAGCCTGCACAGCAGCAAAGACCCAACACAGCGAAAAATAAATAAATAAAATAAAAAGGGAACAGTAAGGTATTAAAAAAATTTTTTAATAAAAAAAATAAGAGCAGCTCATCCTTCTTGGAAATCTCATCTCAATCTACTCTGTTGTTTTTTTAAAATGTCAATTCCATAAGATGAGTACTTTAGACATGTTTTAATTGACACTAACTAGTTCAGTAACTCACTATAGTTTTGCGTCATCCTAAGGGTATCTTCTGATGTACATGTAAAAATGCAATTCACTTTTCTTAAACTCACACACAACACTTTTGGGGCAGGGCAATGAAA